TCTTGATTTTTCCTTAAACACCAAATCCACCAGCAACTGAGGGGGTTCCTGCCCGGGAAGGCAGCCCCACGGGGGAGCTCCAATTACGTCTTGATCAAAGGCAGCACTAACCCCATAAGGGGATAATAAGGATTTGGATGTGGATGTTTACAAAAAAAAAAACATACCCCATCCTAATTTCCAGCCCTCTGGCTTGAATACAGCACCTGCCTCGACTTACGATCGGGAATTTTTTTTTTTTTAAGATTTTATTTATTTATTTGAGAGAGAGTGAGAGCAGGGGGAGGGGCAGAGGGAGAGGGAGAAGCAGACTCCCCACTGAGCAGGGAATCTGATGCAGGACTTGATCCCAGGACCCTGAGATCACGACCTGAGCTGAAGGCAGACGCTTAACTGACTGAGCTGCCCAGGCGCCCCTGACCGGGAATTTAAATGGATTTTGCTGAATGAGAAATTCTATGTGGGGACAATGTTTAACGAAATGCCTGTTCTGTGTTTAGGCAAGAGATTCTCCTTTGAGTGATATTTATGCATAAGCCGTTTGGGGCATAGTATCCTGATTAAGATGGAACGACATGGAAAACGCCTTGGTGGGGATTTGGTGGTAGCTGGTCATTTTCTGTTTGGATGGTTTCCTTAGAAAGCTTTCTGATCGTTGGGTTATTAGTTTACAGTGCACTTACCTCCTTTCCTAAATTCGTTCAAAGGGTCCATCTGGGGCGCCTGGGTGGCTCAGTCAGTTGAGTGACTGCCTTTAGCTCAGGTCATGATCCCGGAGTCCCAGGATCGAGTCCTGAGTCAAGCTCCCTGCTCAGTGGGGAGTCTGCTTCTCCCTCTGCCCCTCTCCCCTCTCATGCTCTCTCTCTCTCTCTCTCTCAAATCTTTAAAAAAAAAAGGGGGGGGTCCATTTATCTGGTCAAGGACAAAGACCAAGGTGTCTTAAATGCCTACCGGAATGGAATCTTGGGACCTCCCCCAGGCAGAGGTCAAGGGGAGACATGCCGAAAAGGACAGGACAGCACATCCGCATGTTTGGATAGTGTGTACAAGGATGGATTATTAGGTAAGAAGCCAGGACAGCAAAGCATTTAAAGGAATGTGAGAGGGTGATAAGTGGAGCCGTGGATAATTGAAGACAGTTTTTCCCTTTCCATATTAACACCCTCCATCTTCTTGGAGCCTCACAGCTCCAAGTTCCTTTACATAAAATGCGGTGGCACACACTTCGCTGCTCACCCACAGCCCTCCAGTCCCCCACCTGGATCTTGTTCCGGGGCAACAGCCCCACCCAGGAGACGGACCAGGACTGGTCCGGTCCGCGGTTCTCGACTTCGGCTGGCCCGCACAATCACCTGGCGAGCTTTTGGACCATCCCAATGCCTGGACCCCACCCCGGACCAATGAAATCAGAATCCCTGGGTGCGGAGCCCAGGCACTGACATTAATTAAAAAAAAAAAAAGCCCCTCAGGTGAATGTAATGCTCAGCCAGGGCTGAGAACCACGGGTCTAACCAATCATTGACCATCCCGTTTTCCCTTTTGCCAATTACTGGGCTCGTGCGAGCCATGTGAACGAGTGCCAGCCAGTGAGAAATAATAAAAGGACGTCGGCGGGGTGGTTCTGGGAAGGTTTTATAACCAGATTGAAGGCGAGACACATGAGGGAAAACTCCTCCGCCCCTTCCTTACTCACTAACCAGCTTCCTTCCTTCCTGCGTTTTAACAACCCTGCATAGCTATGTGAGGAAGTGATGCTGGCAGCTGAGGCTACCATCTTGTGACAGCGGGAGAAGACGCTGCTGAAGGAAAGCCAAGAAGGTGGCAAAGACAGCAAAGGGCCTGAGTCCTTGGTGACTTGGTTTAGGGTGCTGTCGTCCCCCACCCAGACCTGAAAAATGGTGCCCTGACTCCCTCCCTGCCATATCCTGGCCATCAGGCATGGGCCGGCCAGCAGCTGATCTGGTTAGCTCAGGGGCAGCCCCCCTTCCCTGCTGGGCTAGGGGTGTCACCAGCTAGATCCCCCGAGGCCTGACCTTGACTGCCACCTGCTTGTACTCACTGACCCTTGTCCCACGTTTTTCCTTAAGCTCTTCCTCCCGGCTTCTCTCTTAACTCAGGCAAATGGAGACCAAAAACACCCCCTCGAACTATAGCGACCGCTCTGACGAGGCCTCCAGGCAGCCCAGACCGCTTAGGCCAGTTTGAGCATAACCCGCCCGCCCCAGCCCCACGCGCACCTGTGCGGATGACCACGGAGTGACCTCTAGAATGACCGACAACTACTTGTACCTCATTGTAATACCAAGATCTCCGCCCAAAGAGCACAAGCCTCCCCCTTACATAACAGGTGTGTATCGGCAGGTGTCCTTAAGGCGCATGCGCGGCCTCATGCCCGCCTCTGCAGATGACCCCAAGGCTCCCCTACCTAAATATTCATCCTAACCCTAAGGAAAAAGGAACCCATTCACCCTAAGCCCGTGATCTTATTTGATGCAAATAAAGTTTCCCTTGTGCAGCAACTCCACCTGCTTTATCTGTGACTCACCAAGGAGCCATCTCCCGTCGTGGGTTCGGTTACCGGATGTGGATGACGCCCCGCGGAAAGGCCAGCCAGGGGGAGGGCGGCTACTGAGTCGCCGGCTTTCCTGCGCAGGTGCTCCCGGCAGCTCAGGGGTATTTTATTGATTCGTTCAGCAGCTGGAGCTTATGCATAATAAGGCTAAGTGTGTTTTCCACCCCAGCCTATACTCTTGGCCTGGCCCAGGTGCCAAAGGTGCTGCGAGGGGACACGAAAGGGGCCGGCTAGGGAGAGATGCTGAGCGCGGGGCTCTAACACCCACGCTGCCCCACCCAGGCCAGGTGTGACTTTGGGCAGGTTACCTGACTTAGAGCTCTGAGTCCCGGATTCATCTGTAAAACCGATACTAGGTCAAAGTAATGACACCTGTACAGTGCCTACCTCGAGGCGCGGCACAAGGGGATCCATCCCCTTCCGCAGAGAGTGGGGCAGATTTTTTGGCAATCCCTCAGTGGATCAGTAAGGTTATCTTTCTAGGAACCAGGAATACGCGCGTTATGATGAATCCACTGGCTGGTGGCGACATGGTAAGTGCCCAATAACTCCAGCAGAAGTGTGGGAAGAAGGGCTCAGTCACCAACGTACGGAAAGAGCCTAGAGCTTGCTCCCAGATGTCCCTCAGCCCTGCAAAGGAAGCCTCACTGGCCTTCGGAACAGCGGCACCAACGTCACGCACCCAGATCCTAACTTCCTAAAGGAAGGATGCAGATTGTACCCTCTACCCTCCTCTCTATTCCTTTCTTACTTCACCCCAGTCTGAGCTCACCAAATGCTAGTAAAAAATGAAAACAAGGAAGGTTTCTGGGAGATCGTCAGTTCTTAAAGCCATAAAAAGGCTGCAGAATTCGTCCCGGAGAGGCTTTCCCCCAGGCCTGGGAGGGAGGGTGAGGGGCCATTATGCTACTTACATCTGCAAAAACAGGATTAGCAGATGAAAGGATGTTTTTGTTAAGATGTGACAAGTCACCCTGTGCCTTACCTTCCTTTGCTCTGGAAATCAGGAAAGAACACAGACTTCCTAGCAATTACAGAAACTGACCATGAAAACCCCTTGATTACTGGAAGAAAAATCAGTCAGCTTCCAAAAGCATCTGCAGCCCTGGTCTATGAAACAACAACCAAATCCATCCTCATTAACATCAACTTTGTCCTCAGAGCTTCATCCCAGGGGAATACTGGATTACACTATAAAATAATGAATGGAAACTTAAGTCACTTCCGCCCACCCGGCCCGGCTTTTCCTCCTCCTCTGGACTGCACAGGGCAGAAGCCTGCCCCCTTCCAAGTCACACAGAGTTTGGGGAAACGCGTTCCCATACGGCTAACTAGACTCCTAAGGTCAGCATGGTGCAGAACAAAGTACAGGCCAGACACGGACCCAGACACGGAACACACACCGAGGTCGTTTACGCCCCATCTTAGCATCTTCGGATGGATGCTTTGTAGAGAAAGGACACAAAAAACTGGGAGGGGGGATGTCTTTCCGCAGCTGAAGCTGTTTCTGCCACTCTAAGATTCCCTCTCCCAGAGGGATGGGGCAGGGTGCAGAAAGCTCAGCCCTCGGGTCTTGTCGGCACTAGAGGAAGCTGACTAGGCAGCTCTTGTGACCTGATGTGTATGGGATATGGTCCAATATCCTGCCAACGGCCAGCCGTGGAGGATGGGGGGCAGGGAGATGCTCCATGAGCCAGGGGAAAGCAAAGTCCGTTCTATGCGGCTAGCCCACAGCAGGAGACACACGTGTACAAAAACCGTCGCGAGTGAAAGGCCTTGTCTACACCTAATGCTTGGTAACTTAGAAGGCACGGCCTGAAGCGGCGCTTTAGGGAAACAGAGGCAGAGAGTAAGTGTGAAAGAGATCAGGGGCAGGGAGGATAAGAGTCGATAACTTTGCACCAAACCCTGCTTTGGGCTTTCTCCGCGCCTGCAAACACTGTTGCACAGTTTCCCCACGGGAACAGACTGGTGTCAAGATAAAATCCACCAGCCTCAAGTGGCCCCCGAAATCAGATACTTTTCATGTCAATTTCCAGTCTCAAGTTCCATGAAGAGTGTTTCACGAACCTTCTTCACTCTCCTCAAACCTCTTCTCTCTCCCTCTCCTCGCCCCAGTCTCTCAACAGGTGACCGACCTTAACTCCTACTTCATGGGGGGGGGGGGACCGGGAGTGCGGAGACCTGGGTTCCGCCTCAGCCAAACTTAACCCCGCTCGTCTCAGGGCCCTCCTCTGAGGGGGCAGGTGGCTACGCTGGCGATCCCGACGAGTCTCTTCCAAATTCTACCAGCCGCGCTTTCCCACCCGCTCGGATCTATTCAGCCAGGGTGAGATCTGGGACGGCATCCGCCCCCCACCCCTTCCCCCTGCAGGCTGGTCTGAGCTCCCCAAAGACCCCTGCCCGCAACCCGCCCGGGGCCACCTTACCCGGATCCGTCCCGGGGGCGCGCGTTGGGGGCGGGGGCAGGGGCTACGTGGCACCGTCGGCCTCGGTCTCAGGCGGCTTCTCCTCCTCCACGGGCGGCTCCAGCTCGCCCTCCTCTCCACTGCGAGGGTAGGCCAGCAGGCGCATGGCTGGAGCGCAGGCCGCCTCCACCTGGCGCACCTGCTCTCGGCTCAGGCGCTCGCGCCAGGCGTGCACGGCCTCGCGGGCGTCGCGCGCCGACAGGTGGAAGGGTCGGTCGGCGCCGTAGGCCGCGCCCCGCGTCATGTTGAGCGCAAAGGCGTCGAGCGCGGCGAGCGCGCGCAGCCCGGAGAAGCGCAGCAGGCGGCGCAGCTGGGTGCGCGGCTGCCGCACCAGGTCCTCGTAGCGCAGCCTCAGGTAGCGGCGCCGCAGCCAGGCGGGCGCGCCGCGCGCGAACAGGAGGTCGCGCAGCCAGGCTTCGCAGATCACCTCGAGCGCGCCGGTCAGGAAGAAGTCGGCGCGCGGTGCGGCGGGCAGGGCGCGGGCCTGGCCCCCGGGCCGAGCGCCCACGCCGTGCGCCAGTAGCACGCGGTGGAAGCGGTCGCCCCGCTGGCGGGTGCGCAGCACCTGGATGCTCTCGCGCAGCAGCCCCTGCCTGGACTTGAGGCGCGAGTTGTGCACGGCCCGCGGGTCGCGGAAAAGTTGCACCACCTTCAGGTTGAGGCCGGGGTCCCGCAGCAGGGGCACCAGCACGCCCAGGTCGAGGAGGCGCACGTCCTTGATGACCACCACCGGGTACTTGCGGCACTCGGCCTCCAGGGCGCGTAGAGCCACGGGCGGGCAGCTGCGCTCGCAGGCAGCATCCTCGACGAGGCCGACCTCAGCGCGGGCACGGGGCGCGCCGGGGCACAGCGGCGGCGAGCAGATGACCTTGTTGGTCCGCCAGCGAAAGAGGGCGGCCGTGGTAAGATTGGCTGCGCCCGGGGCGCGCGCGGCGGGGTCCCCCGGCGGCGCGTACAGCCGCAGCACCGAGAAGTCGCAGCGGAAGAGCGAGCGCAGCATGTCGCGCAGCGCGCCCTGCAGGCTCTCGGCGTCGCCCGGATACAGCGCCTGCCATAGATGCCACATGGGCTCGTACAAGTAGAAAACGTCCGGGTGCTGGTTAAAGAGCTCGCCCAGGAACGACGAGCCGGTGCGCCAGGTGGCATGCACATAGATGTGCTGCTTCTCGCGAGACACCGCCTCCCCGACGGCGCCGCTGAGGTTGCCCGGGGGCCGAGGGGGCTGGCCCGCGTCCCCCTCCGCGGCCGGCCGCGCCTCCCCGCCCTGTTCGCGCTCGCCCGCCGCCGCCGCCTCCAAGCTCCAGACTCCCAGGCTGCGCTGCACGCCGGGGCAGTGCCCGGCGCCCTTGTCGCCGTCGCGGCCGCCGTCCAGCACGGAGGGGATGAGCAGCAGCACCAGCGTGTACAGCACCAACAGCAGCGCAAACTTGCAGTACTCCCGGCGCCGCCGCCGCCGGCCCTTCATCGTTCACCGAGCCCCCCACCCTCCGAGCGGGTGGGGCGCCCGTCCTCTCCCCTTCCTCAGAAATCCCGTCCCGAGCCCGCTCCTCCGGCCTCTTCGGGCCCCTCTGCGCCGGGAGCGGGAAGGAGGAGCGGAGCGACCGACCGGGGCCGTGCATCCACCAGGGGGAACTTAGGAGGCGGTGGTGCTGGTGGCGGCGCCCCTGCCCTCTCTCGGCTCAGCCGCTGGAGAGCCGCCTATTGGCTGCTTTGGCCACCGCCCGCCCCGCCTTCAACCTCCCCGCTTCTCCCCGCCTCTTTACCCGCCCGGGATCGCCCACGGCTCCGCCAGATCTGGGCGGGGTTGCTGCGGGGTGGGGACGATGGTTGGGGCGCACCGAGCCAGACCCCACCTTTCCCCAACCCCTCCGTCGTGAAGTCAAGTCTTCATGAATCGACTTCAGGCAAGGGAGGGGCTCGTGTGTACGGAATGTACCCAGTGACTGGACACGGACCCCACCCGGAGGACTCCGCCGCCTCTCCTGTTTTTATGTCCCCTGCCTGGTCATCTCTGTCGTTGGCAGGCTCGCCTCCATCCTCTTGAGAGCGGGGCTCCTGGTCCCTATCCACGTCCAGCGCCCCCATCGGCCCCGGGGTGGGTGTCACTGAGCTCTGGGTGGGGAGAGCGGAGAACTCCTCCGCTAAGATAAAGATACGCAATTGCACATTGCGTCGTGGACCCGAGGGATTGGAAGCGGCGATGCATTCACGCAGGGCAATCAGTCGTTAAGGTGTAGCCTTTGTGAAATTTCAAGTGTTGCCTTCCTTAGGGCTTTTGCCCGCCGAGGGCTATGCACATTTCTAGACACCCTGAAGATCAGTTTACTCATTTGTAAAATGCAGATAATTTTTAGCACCTCCGTACCTCCTGTCGTTGTGTGAGATTTGGGGGAGGGGTGTCGTTTGTTAGCACCGCATAACCTAGCCTGTTCTGACACGTGAACAAAAAGACATTTACAGGGGCGCCTGGGTGGCTCAGTCTGTGAACCGTCTGCCTTCAGCTCAGGTCATGATCCCGGGGTCCTGGGATGGAGTCCCACATCCGGCTCCCTGCTCAGCGGAGAGTCTGCTTCGCCCTCTCCCCCTGCCCCTCCCCCCTGCTTGTGCGCGCTCTCTCTCTCTCTCCCAAATAAATAAAATCTTTAAAAAAAAAAAAAAGACATTTACAGAACTAGAGTGGTAGGATGGTGGAGTTTCTCAGGAGCTCAATGTTTAAAAGGACCCATAAGCAGGGATATGTACTCAAGGTTGGATGAAAAAGTGACAGGAAGTCCAAGAGGCAGATTAAGCTTAAAGTTTCTGAAGTCCAAAAGAGAACGGAAAAAGATAATTTTTGCTCTGTTTCGGCAGGGATAATGAACACCCCCTTGGAGGAAGGTGTTGTAAGGTTAACAGAAGATAGAAAGCAAATCTACTCCTCTCCATCAGGGGAAGGTGTTCAAATAGGAAAAATGAGAACATCTCCACAAAGATCTCTGGTCTTTTTCATCACAGAAACTACCCCACCTCTGAAATCACTCGCTGAAGCATCCTGCTATCTGTCCACAATTCTCTGGCCTTTTGGCCACTTGTTCAAATCCTCTCTATTCTCCAGCCTCATTGACCACTACCTCCACTTTGTTCTTAATTTTTCATATTCGGTGAAGAGACCGCAGACCGTTATTTTAATAACAGTTCTGCCAATAACCTAAGTTCCCTGACTTTGTCTTTTCATTACTCATTTAGCAACATCCCCCTGTTAAACCCTGCTTTGGGCTTTCTCCCTGCCTGCAAACACTGTTGCAGGAAGTTTCCCCACAGGACAGATAAAGTTATCATCATCCACCTCAAATGGTCCCTGAAATCCTATACTTTTCATGTCCATTCCCAGTCTCAGGTTCCATGATGACGATTTCAAACCTGCTCTGCTCTCCCCAGACCTCTGACAACCCTCTCTGCACCCGCCTCCCTGTTTTCAACAGATGAACTTACCTCCTACTTCGTAGAGAAAATGAAACTGTTAGGCAATTTCTCACTTTCCACTGTCAGAGCCATATATCCACTTACCTCTGTACCCATCTCCTCCTTTGTGACAGGGATATTATTTTCCAATATTAAGCTATAACTTTTTCCTTCCCCGTGTTTTCACTTTTCCCTCCTCTCCTCTTTTAAAACAAGTAGATGGCTCTCTGTGCACCTGAAGGGAGGGGATGTGGCTGAGCAGAATGCAAAAAAGGCACTGGTGTTTCTTTCCAGAAGCCAAAACTCTAGTCGTGGAGGGTGGTCAGTTTTTCGAATAACCACAAAATTTCCCCCTCCTCCCTCACTGCCCTTTGGCAGTGCCTACCCACACGGACTCTGGGACAGCCTCGTGACTTGCATGGGCATATGGGACAGTAGTAAACATGAACCAAACGGGGCTTGGAAAATGCTTCCACCGTGGGGATTGCCCTCCCACTGCCCTTGGGAACCTGGGGATCACCAGTTGAAGAAGCCTGGGCTAGCCACGCGGCTCCGGGAATAAGCTGTCCCAGCTGAAACCCCACCCCCCCACCCCGACCATACAGCCTGCCAACTGGCAGACAGGTGAGAGAGGATAGCCGAGACCAGTGTTTCTTAAAAGTTAATGTATACATAAACCACCTGGGGGTCTTGTGAAAATGCAGAAACGGATTCATTAAGCCTGGCTTGGGGCCAGAGAACCTACATTTCTAATAAGCTCCTGGGCTTTGCAGCTCTGAGGACCACACTTGGAAAAAGAAAGATGCTACACTCTCCGGCCCCAGTCGAGTTGACCCAGGTCAGAAGAACCACCCAGCTGACCCACAGAATTGTGAGAAATAATAGATGTGTATTGTAAGATACTAAGTTGGGGGTGGTTGTTATGCAGCGAAAGCTAGCTGATACAAAGAAGGTGTGAGGGCTTAGACGAAATGTCCTGGAGAAGCTGAGGGAAAGAGCAGCACTCCACTGGCTCCTCCCCTAGGCTGGAGGTGGCTGAAGGGAGAGTGAAAGCTATGGGCCCCACAGCAGAGAGCACCTGAGCCCTTCTTCCTGGCCACGAGTCAGGGAAGAGCTCTGCTCTTCAAGAAGTGGCTATATGGTTTATCTGACAGATAGTACCTTGACAGAGGCACTATCCCAAACCTTCCTGGGCCCCAGACGCAACTTGGAGGCAGCAGAAGGATCACAGAGACAGGGTTGGTGACATCTCAGGGGCAACTATGTGGACCAAAACCCAATGATCCCAAGACGCCAGATCTATGATACAACCCTATTTGTAGAGAAACCGTAGGAATTACCAAGGCAAATTGCCAACCCAGCAGAAAGCTCAATCAGAAATAAAATTGTTTTCTGAGAGGTCCAGGCTTCCGGTTATGGAATGAATCAGTCACGGGGATGAAAGGCACAGCAAAGGGAATATCATCAATGGTATTGTAATGGCGTTGTATGGTGACAGATGGTAGCTACATTTGTGGGGAGCGTAGCGTAACGTAAGAGTTGTCGATCACTGTGTCATACACCCAAAACTGATGTAACATTGTGTATCAGCTATACTTCAGTTAAAGAAAAAAAGGTGTTTTCTGTAAAGTGATTTCTATCACACCTAACTTAGTAGACCTGCTACCCCTTTTTGTCTTTCTGGGACAATAGAAGACGACCCAGCCCTGGCTATCCATCACCACTTCTCCTTCCTGTTAATTCAATCACATACTCTCAACCAGAGTATCCTCACCAATTCAAGAATTGAGCATAGTTACAAGTCTCTTTCTCTTAAAAAAAAAAAAAAAAATCCCAGGGCGCCTGGGTGGCTCCGTCAGTTAGGTGTCTGCCTTCGGCTCGGGTCATGGTCCCAGGGTCCTGGGATCGAGCCCCGCATTGGGCTCCCTGCTCAGCCAGGGAGCCTGCTTCTCCCTCTATCTGCCACTTCCCCTGCTTGTGCACTCTCTCTCTCTTGCTCTGACAAATAAAATCTTAAAAAAAAAAATCCCATTGATTCCCACCTTCCTCTAGCACAACTGCTGCTGACACCTTTATGGGAATCAGAAGGTGCCCTCTCCAGGCACATGAAGTTCAAAAACGGGGCTGACCACCTTGAAAAAATGACCCCCCCCCCTTCGGGCCACCGCTCCAGGCCCAAGTGTACAGCTCAAATGCAGAGCCTGGCTGGGTTCCTGCCCGAACTTGCATCCTTCTGCCCGGCCCTTCCCTGCGCCCTTGCCCCGCCGCCACGGGTTCCTCTGCCCGAGCCTCACAGGCCAGCTTCTTGCTGGAGCTGTTTCTACTTGTTCTCTCCCTGCTCTCATCTCCTACTCAGTCCTCAGCACACTCCATTGTAGATTCTGGCCCCGTATTGCTACATAAACAGCCCTTTCTAAGTTTATCAATGGCTTCCGTGTTATGGAATCCAGAGGACGTTTTCCCGTCTCATCTTATTTGACCTTCCCGTAGCACCTGACGCTTGACAGCTCCTGCCTCCAAATTCTCTTCTTTCAATTTCTAGGACATCACACTGGTCCTATTCTCCTCCCATGTCAGAGCTGCACCTTCAGAGCAAAGCGTTTGGGAGACCAGGCTCTGTGAAACCGTGATCCTACTAGTAGGGTTATTGCAGGATTATTGGAAGAATTAAATTTTATAAGATGGATCGATAGATAGATAGAGCCAACAACAGTGCATGAGATGAAGTAGGCTTCAAAAATGAGTCACTGTTGCTGTTGCAGGAAGCTCATCCTCCTCCACTTGGGCCATTCAATGTTAGAATATTAGAATTCCTTCAGTTTCAGCCCTAGACCCCTTTTCTTCTCACTTCAGTTTCAGCCCTAGACCCCTTTTCTTCTCACTTCAGTTTCAGCCCTAGACCCTTTTTCTTCAATAAGCCCAGACTGACATTGCCTGCCCAGACCTCTCCTTGGTCAGGTTGGTTTTACCTTATCATGTCCCCTTAATCCATTCATTTTTCTCCATTGCCATTATTACCACCCTAGCCCAGGTGACCATCCTCTGTCCTGTCTCTAAAAACTGCTTAGCCTGTCTCTGTTTCTACTCTGCCCTCCTCTGATTTTTTTTAAAGATTTATTTATTGGGGGCACCTGGGTGGCTCAGTCGTTAAGCATCTGCCTTCGGCTCAGGTCACAGTCCCAGGGTCCTGGGATCGAGCCCCGCAGCATTGGGCTCCCTGCTCGGCAGGAA